AAATTCATAGAAAATATGTGGTTTTAAATCATAGTAATATTCATCTTAAATTAAAAAATGTGAATTTGTCATCATGTGCCGTATTTTTCGTAGACAACAATTTTGAATTGTAACGTTTTTTTGTAGCAAACTTTAAGGAAAAGTGAAATTATCTCGATGTAACATAGGATTTCAAACAAATTGATTGGATTTAATTTTGTATCCATTATAATTCACGTCAATATTATTTTACCACTGCACCCATGATACAATAATACAAGGTAGAATGACTTAGGTGAAACAAAACAGCTCTGTAAATTGTGGGTTCTTCTGTCAAATATAAAGTATTTATTTTAATTAACATTTTTTCAACACAAAGTGAATGAAATGTTATGATTTCTTACCCAAATTGAGTAGGGAATACGATGAAATGTTGCTAAGAAGTACTTAAAAAATAAGAAAATTGACAGAAAAATGCTAAACAATGAAAAAGAAATTTGTTCAATTCCCTTATTCGTATTTATGTATAAAAAAATATTTTTATACATAAATACGAATAAGGGAATTGAAATTAACAGCGTTTATAACGTCACGAAATATTGGCCATACACCCACCTTTTTTGTAGATGTAGATGTCAAATCTTGACTAACTGAGACGATCTAGATCCCCGTCCGTTGAATATTTATGTATTCTGAAGCATACTTTTAGGAGAAGCGATAAATTTTTGTCCAAAAGATATTTCAAATTATCTCGATTTAGCATGGGATATCAAACAAATCGAGGCTATATCAGATTGATTTAGCAATTAAATCTAAAGGCGCGTTTAGACTAGAATTTTTTTAGGCAGTTATTTTGAATATTTACTAATATTAAAGAATACTTTAAGGAGAAGATTTTATTTTTGGTGCGAAAACAGAGTTGTATTTGAAATTATCTCGAGTTAGCATAGGATTTCGAGAAAATGGAGATAATGAGAGGATTTAATTTTGTATGGTAAACCGAAGTAATTTCAGCCCGATTTAGCAATTAAATCGAGATAATGAACTTGGTCTGTAGTCTAATCGTGCCATAAACGCGTCTTTAGGTCGAGTTCCCTACTAAAGTAACTTTAAGTCATTATTACAATTACATTTACAATTTCATATAATTTGTTTAATTAAATTACCCTAGCGTGGATTTGGAATTTGAAAATGTACAGTTGTGAAAATATTATACTCACAATTTTGCATCGAAGAGGCCGGCGTCGTGTTTATTTATAAAGGGCTAAGCTGAATGTTCGCGTTAAGCGTTTTTTTGTTCTCGCGTTAACGCACGCAAAAAGTTAAAATTTATTTAACTCCAAAGCGCAGCGCACATCAACTTCGAGCGTTTGTGTTATCGTTTCCTTGTGGTTGTTGTATTTTCGATAACATATTACGCGACGGATGGCTCAACGCGAGCAGCTCTTAAAAGTTGACGGCGGCGATTCTAATCGACTACCGACTTTTCGATTTTGTCAAACCTCGAAGTCGATTCTCGACTTTACCAACTAAAGCAAAATCGACTAAAAATTTAATTTTTTATAAGAATGGTTGTCAACAGATGAAAAAAGTTATGGAATGTGTAATTTTTGGACAATTTCGGCTTTGTGTTAATAAATCAAAAATTTATGAAGAAAATCGAAAGTCGATCTAGAAAAGTCGACTGCGATTTTCTCAAAGGTCAAAAATCCACTTCGATTTTTAGACTTTTTAATACAAAAAGTCGATTAATCGATTAGTTGAAAGTCGATTTACTTATCCCTAATCATAATTTCCCTAAAAGGTCGTTTACATTTAAACGGATTTGGTTAACCCAGTGGGTTTCAATTATCAATTCCTTTGCATATATGTCAAATAAATCCTCATAAAGTAGGTTAACCCGGTAAAAAGTTCTAATGTAAATGCCGTATAAACCTCATTCGTAAACAACACGGTTTCCATTTAGTCTCTATCCCACCTCATTCGTAAACTTTCGGTTATACCATTTTGAGTTCATCTTTATCGGCCATTTTGTCTTCTCCTCCCATTCGTTAGCAGGTGGAACGTTTTATTTAAATGTAACGGACAGAATAAGCATAGATAAAAGTTCCGTTCCAAAACCTAAAAGAATCTACTAATTTTACAAGTTTTGCAACTTTTTACTCGAAAACCGTTCCTGAACCCATAAAACTGGTAAAGCATTGAATCAAATTTAAGAGAGCACAAAACAAAATGGCTTTCTCTTTGTAAACTTTTTGTTATGTTGATTTTGAAGTATTGCCATCTAATTTTGGCATATTTACTAGATTTGCGTTCCCGAACTTTTCAAATTATTTTGTACTCTGAGACTTGAAATGTTTCCCTTTTACTAGCTTTACTATTAAACAAGTGAAAAAGCGTTAAGTTCGGCCGGGCCGAACTTTGGATACCCTCCACCACAGGTATACTGACAGGTATTTGAAATGAAAAAGTGGACCGATATTTATAATTTTAAATAGAGATATTTGGTACCCAATATGAACCCACTGTACCAAATTTCAGCGAATTCGGTTGAAAATCGCGCTTAAGAACCTCAAAATACCGAAAATTTGGGGTGCCCTTATATGGGGGCTACCAGAAAAAGTGGGCCGATATTTATAATTTTTAGTAGAGATATTTGGTACGCAATATGAACCCAATGTACAAAATTGCAGCGAATTCGGTTGAAAAGCGCGCTCAAGAACCCCAAAATACCGAAATTGGGGGGTACCCTTATATGGGGGATATCCGAAAAAATTGACCTATATTTAAATTTTTTTGTGGAGAGATTTGGTACCTGCTAAGAACTCAAAATACTAAATTACAGCCAATTCGGTGAAAAATACGATAAAAACCCAAAAAATACTGAAAATTAGGAGGTACCGTTATATGGGGGCTACAAGAAAAAGTGGACCTATATTTATAATTTTTTGTGGATACATTTACTACAAATTCGCTTGAAAAACGCGCTCAATAACCCCAAAATACCGAAAATTGGGGGGTACCCTTATATGGGAGCTATGCCTAAACGTGGACCGATATATCCCATCTTCGAACTTGACCTGCCTGCAGACAAAAGACAACCCTATGCAAAATTTCAGCACCCTATCTCAATTCCTTCAGAAGATAGCGTGATTACAACAGACGGACGGACATGGCTAGATCGTCTTAGAATTTTACCCTGATCAAGAATATATATACTTTATAGGGTCGGAAATGAATATTTCGATGAGTTACAAACGGAATGACAAAATTAATATACCCTCCATACTATGGTGGAGGGTATAAAAAGTACTGGAACAGACCATTTGTTGGCGAAGGTTTGCGTACGACGTCGCTTGAGTCTTGGCAGAACGACGATTAACAAGCGAATTTTATGAAGGCTGGAGTCTTGGAGGCTTCCCACTGTTCTTTTGAATCTCTCTCTCTCTCTTTCTCTCTCTCTTTTATTATTTTTTTTTTTTTCGTTTTTCCATATATAGTTCCTTTGCTCCATATAGTTCCTTTGATCCATATAGTACCTTTGCTCCATATAATTCCTTTAGTCCATACAATTTCTTTGCTCCATATAGTTCCGACTCCTACATAGTTCTTTTGAATCTCTCTCTTTCATCATTCTTTTTCCATATATAGTTCCTTTGCTCCATATAGTTCCTTTGCTCTTTATAGTTCCTATGCTCCAAATAGTTCCTTTGCTCCATATAGTTCCTTTGATCCATATAGTACCTTTGCTCCATATAATTCCTTTAGTCCATGCAATTTCTTTGCTCCATATAGTTCCTTTTGCTCTCTCTTTCATCATTCTTTTTTTCGTCCTTATAGTTCCTTTGCTCCATATAGTTCAAAAAAGGAACTGGATCTTATATTAATTAAAGAACTGCTCTTTATAGTTCCTTTGCTCCATACAGTTCCTTTGCTTCAAATAGTTCAAAAAAGGAACTGGATCAGAGAAAGGAATTATATTAATTAACATTTTACCGAACTGGAACTAGTTTTTATAACAAAAATAATCGGATGTGGTAGTGATTATGGGATGCATACTTATTGTTCGACTTTTTAGTCTTTGGCCGGGGATGTAAGTTTTTCTCTAATTTCGGTAATTTTATTGGCGATGCAGAATCTCAAAAACAATCTGGCCTGAGATTTCGGACGGTCATTGCAGGATTAGATCACTTACATCCAAATGGGACATAATGGAGTGGATTGTTGCTTTTTATGTGAGGAATAGGAAGAGCTGGAGGCAACTGAACATATACTTTGTAGATGTCTATCGGCCATGGGACATAATGGAGTGAATTGTTGCTTTTTATGTGAGGAATAGGAAGAGCTGGAGGCAACTGAACATATACTTTGTAGATGTCTATCGCAGCAGAAGCCATCGGCGATATGGAACGCATAAAAATACTTGGTTTCTTAAACATTTGACATGGCTAGGTATAATATGTAACTTCTTTCTCTACCACTTTCTTCCCGCTCTTTATATTTTCTCCGTTTCAGGTACTTAGGATGATCACAATGGACACATGTCGGACACATGTCCGAGGAAAAGCAGCAGCTAGACAAATTGTAACTGAAAATCCTTTAACCTATAGACCTCCCTCAGAAAAAAATTATATTGTTGTGAACAAAAAACTATGACATATCGTTGAAAAATCAGGACGGTCAGTACTTGTGGAAATATCGTTCTCCACTATTATTGCAATTAGATAATTAATAGTAAAGATGTCCGGATGGGACACTAACGTGTATAAAGTAAAGGACTAAAAGGATAAAGTAAAGGACTAAAGGATAATCGACTACGAATTCTCATTGTGTAACAAAAGTAAGGTCGCCTCATAAGACAAAAAAAATCACAAAAATTATAAAAATAACAACAAATTAAATAAAATCTATTTTTAATATACATTTATGGAAATAGCTTACATCATACATAAATAAATTTTAAAAATGACATAGTTTTATTGCTAACACGACAATCATTAAATACGAATCCGACAGATCGACTAGCTCCACGCAAAACCATACTCTTTATCATAACATACACGTTCTAAAATTGTAACAGCCTGAGTGCCAGTCCGGCACATGTTTTCCACGACATACGGTTGCAGGCCACAATCTGAAAGATTTTCTTTGCCAAATACTTGACCAGCCGCATTTTCTACGTCGGCATTGTGTTGCTGGTCCGATTCATCTTTCTTGTCTTGATTCTGGCCAGCAGAATCATCAACTAGTAATTTGTGTGTTGCTTTACTAAACGCTATTGTACTCATCGTTGAGGCCAGTGTTGCACTGAATGTATCTTTGGTCTCGCCGAGCAGGTGGCACACGTAGGGGAGAAAAGATGGCAATATTGTACCCTTTACCTCAATGCTACAGTAGTCGACACCATCCATTCGAACCTTACTAGAGCGTGTATTTAAATGCATCATTGTCGCCTTAGGAAATGCAACAGGCGATAATAAGGTCGGCGGTACCCCAGCCAGACGACCAATAGAACTTATTGTACTCTTTGCATTGAGCAGGAAACTGAAGAAACCTTGACATTCAACGCCCTCTATAAGCAGCAGTGAATTATCGCTAAAATCTTCAGACATTTCCTGAGCTTTTAATTTACGTTTATGAGCTGTTTGGATTTTACGTATTTCTTTTTCGTCTACACCCAGACTGTGCAACCAGTCATCACCTTCTTCCTCATCATCGTCGTCGTTATCATCATCTGCATCGTTGTCGTCCTCCGCATTATCTCCATTACAAAGTTTCTCTTCCTTCTCATTATTACCTTCTCCATTGGTTAAATGCCCATTCGTTGGAGGTGAATTGCTATTTTCTCCTTCCACAGATTTATTTAGACCACCGCTATCTTTCTTTAAGGGCATAGTGTATTCAATACCCTCTTGGCGTAAAGCATGACGCATACCTCTTGTTGATGGTGACATCAGAGCATGGATTTCCGCCCTGCCACCTGTTCCAGCTGCTCGAAAAAGAACTGTGAAGCCATTAGCACATAGGTAGAAGTAAGCACATTGCCTAGCCCGCAACAATTGAAACAGCCCTCGGAAACTGTAATCCCAATCTTCGGCAAGGGCTTTTCGTTCACGTTCCCCAATAGTAATTCCAGCATTTTCACGAGCATTACGGGGGAATAATGTCATCCACGGAATATGAGGGTGTTGCCAATAGTAAGTTGCCTGATTAAATCTTGTAGCTGGTGAAATATCAAGGCCATTTTCCTCTTCCTTCTGTGTGTCTAAGCAACGTACGAAACTCGTAAGCCCACTGGCCAATTGACTGGTCTTTAGCTGGGTTGCTGGCAAGTCTGTACAACAAAAGAAACGAACTCGGGTTTTTATACTCCAGTCCATGGGCAAGTGTTTTGTTATATTCTGCTCCACAACCACAGCATCATCATCCTCAGGACCAGTGGCGGATTGCTGTAATAACTTAGAAAATGCGTTCGCATCAAACGGCTGTAGAACTAATTTCGCTGGAGGTGGACGAGTTGGTGTTTCTTTGACAAATGCCTCCGCTTTGGGTACAGCTGGAGAACTGATGAATCCCATTAACGAATCTTCAGACTCATCTGTTTTCGGTTTTTTGGCATTATCTGATGATCTGTATTTTGTAAAGAAAGACCTATGTATTAGCGAACATTATATCATCAAAACATCTCTTACTTGGCAAATGGATTCTTTCTCTTTTGGGCCATTTTTGCCTCCAAAAGGGAAGATTTATCAGTTTCGGTAATCGCAAATTTTGCATTGTTATTATTGTTGTTGTTGCAATTAAATCGTGCCGCAAGTTGTTTTTTCTTTTGTTTCAGTCTTTGCAATCTCATAAGCTGAAAGTAAACAAAATCTATAAGAACGATCACTCCATGTTGAGATGCCACTAACCTCATCTGGTCGCTTCCAGTTTTGTGTCTTATCTTCTTTCGTCGCCATTTTAAGTGGGTATTGTGTGCGAAAATTATAAACAAAAAACCTCTTGATCTATGTATATTTGTGTCTAGAGTCTGTAAAATTTGCAAAATAAGACCTTAGTTTTAGTTGGCTAGTTGGGTAAAGCCTCTTCTGCGCGCCTTTTACCGTTTACCGAATAAACCGACCTAATTTAAAAACGTTCCACTTGCCACGAATAGAGAGAATAAGCAGTGAATGGGTGATAAATCACTAACTCGTAACAAAATGACCGTTAAACGCTTTATTTACGAATGAAGTGATGCATAATGACGATATTCTCGTTTTGTTTAGAAAGTGATAGGAGAGATGGGTATTTCTTCATAGGGAAGTAGGTGACCTAGTTGCCTTGTCGACAAAGCGTCAATTTCCGAATTTTGAATAAATTAACCAATTTCAACCTTTTTTTAATTTCTTAAAAACTATCCGAAATTTTCGATTTTCTACACAATTTTGAAAAGAACTCGGAGCAAATTGTTAGCTGGTAAATGTCGAAAATTGATAATTTCAATTTATTTCACAGATGTAACTTAGCATTACCTTCCATTTTAATACAAGTTATCAACATACGACATTTGTAAATCCACATAGCCCAATATGTTTGATGAGTCCAATAAGTCTGATGAACGGCAAAAAGGGTCGCATAATGGTGGGTGCTTAGGTTCTTCCCATGGCTTTCCTTTTCATTGCCAAACTTCGAACATTAAGCTCAAACAGCAAGAGAAAAAAATGGCTTAAAAATCATTAAAAACTCAAACAAACATATTTTTTGGAAAAAAAAAAATTAAACCATTTGTACTGTAAAATCTACTAACTTTAATATATATTTTTTTAATATCATAAAAAATGCTATCGTAGTAAAAAAGTGTACAGCAAATGTTTTATTTAATTTATACACATAAAAAGTCATCAATGATCCCACAAAATATATACTGATCGGTTTATTCTATTTTGAGCTACAATTGGCACCGCAAACTGTTTAGTAAAAACAGTGTTTTGTAAGCAGGAATTTTTGAAAAAACTATGCAAATTTTTCAAAAAAAAAAAAAAAAGTCCAAAAGTAGATTTGTCATGAACTCAATTCTGAGATCTCTTTTTGGATAGTAATCAAATTTTCGCTCGATAGTAGGTTATGTTAAAGGATGCGCATCTGTTATATTTAGACGCTTCATTCGGAGACCAATTGTCGATTGTATTCATCCTTAAGAGTGAAGTTAAGAAGTGAAAAAGAACAGTCAGAATGTACAAAGTAGCGTGAGAAATTTATCCAAAACAATTAATTGGCACAGCTAATAATTTTAATCGGAGAAGAAGTCAATAGGTCGATCTCGTATCTTCCAAATATTCGGTGTCTTCTGCTGCGAAGCATTGGAAACCTGCAGAGTAGATGCTCGATCGTTTCCGCCTCTTTATTGCCCTCGCACAGACGACAGTAATCCACCACATTGGTAGAGTGAGTGAAATTCGTACTTATTTCTTCTAAATCATTAAAAATAAATAAATATATCAAACTAGAAACACCCCAAAAACACAATAAAATTAAAACTTTTAAAACTTCATTCTTTAGCATCTATCATAGATTATTACATAGATCATTCTTATTTTGCTTATTACAATACCAGTATATAAAATATATAAATTTCATAATTTAAGTTCTACGAATTTGCATTCAATGCAGTATTACCATTAGTTTAATACCAATAAACCAATAATTCCATATAATTCTTGTTCTATTTATTACTTTGGAATTTCTTATCCCTTTTATTTTCGATATTTTTCCGTTATATTTGATGAATCATTGTAGATAAAAAACTCTTCCAGTCCTAATTTAATTTAACAATTGGAACGACCCATTTTAAGGTTCGTTGCATCTTCTTAGATAATTGGAATGGTTGGCAATGCATACAAGCATTTAAAACTACAAATCCCTAAAAGTATGCAAAGCAAAACTGAATACACACTTGTTGTGTTGGCAAACATTCGGGAAAAAATCGATAACGGTAACGTTTGCTAAGAGGAAAATTTTTTCACATAAAAAGGTAAATTATTAAAATATAAAAAAGTATAATCTATTAACAAAAACACGATTAAACGCAAATGGACAATGCAAAAAATCATCCTCTCCAAAATGTAATATGTTGTTGTTTTATTTTTAGAAATTGACGTAAGAGAAAATATGGCCACGAAATTCATCTTTTTGTTAATTACACTAACAGCTGGACATTTGGTTTCGGCATATGCTCCAATGTCTAAGGAAAGTATTTTTGCGGATGTCCTCCTTACGGAACTCTTAAATCGCATGGAAAAAGAAAACGACCCACTCAATAATTATTTCGACCTCGATGGGGATTTACCCAAAGGCTTGGATCTCGTGTCACGTTCTTCGGGACAAAATGCACCCGAAGATTATGAATATCGCAATATCTTTCCAGGGGGTTCCAATCCATCCATACGTGACCAGGAATTAATGCAACACAGTTCGTTGTGGGGACATCAGTATGTGTCCGGTGGTATGGGCGAAGCACCCAACCATTTCCCAACATTGATTAAAACCGATGCTAGCTTGCCAGCCTATTGTAATCCACCAAATCCATGCCCTCAGGGTTATGATCAGAGTGCCGGTTGCATATCCGATTTCGAAAATACCGCATTATTCAGTCGCGAATACCAAGCAGCCCAGGATTGTACTTGCGATAGCGAACATATGTTTGATTGTGCTGGTCAGGACTCTAGTGCTGGCAACAGTGAGATGGCTTCGACAATGGAAAAGTTCTTAATGCATCAGTTTCAAAGTGACAACTCCATTGACAACTCAAATGCTCCAGTCAAGAAACACTTTGGTATTTCCCCTGCTGCCGCTGCTGTTAATCCATTCTTGGAAGGTGACAAATTGCCAATAGCGGCTAAGAAGGGTAATCTCAATCACATCAAGGTCTAAGACTTACCACACGACAAGTCCACAATATAGCGAAAGAATAAATATATATTTTATGTAGTCCCTTTCCTACAATATACACATTCGAAAATTTATTAACATCTTTGATCAGACGAATGTTATTAATGTATATAGCGATAAAAACAAAAAAACATATGTATGTAGTATGTATAACATAGAGAAAAAACGAAAATAAACAAATAATGTGTATGTATCACGAAATGTTAGTATACATATGTACATGTTCTGGCGTAAAATGGAATAAGTAATTATTGCACTATTATAATGAATTAGATTATGATTTCAGTAACGATTGTTAAAGTTCTTTATTTCAATTATTAAATACACAATAAAATATTATTAATGTTATACCTCTAAAACTTCTAAGTTACTTTGTTTTTATATACAGGGTGAATTAAATGGAAGAATTTATTATATACACACAAGTTTATGGAGATTCATACAAAATATATATTTTCAAATACACTTTACAATTATTTTACATAAAATTGTCCCCGATTTATTAAAAATCTTGATTATTTCTTATAAGATCCTGTGAATTAACACAATTGTTTGGTGGTCGGCAAGCGTACGCCCGATTTGATCCAAACCGGTTGTTCAAACAATGGAGAACGAAACAAAAATATTGGAATCTGTGCATGTCTCTATATTAGGAAATCAAGATAATTATAATTATCACAGCGCTCCACAGTAATTTTAAATTAATGACTTAAAACCAAATGGGATAATGATGATGAATGAAATAACTCCTGCAACATTGCCCAACGCTTTCATAAAATAAATTACGAATTACACTGTATCCTATTACTAATTGTTTTGATCTACAGTTTTTTCACGACTTCGAACGACAAACGGTTCTATTACTATGTGTTTAGCATACTTATATATATTTATAGGGTGCAAGGATCGGATAAATGTCCAAAAGAACGATGAAAACATACGAATATGTGTTTCTTGTTTTTTTTTTAAAGGGTCTATCCATTCGATTTTCACAATCCTCCCTAGATTCCCATTGTTTTATCATTAAAGAAATTTTGCAATGCATGAAAAAGATGATAATAGCTTGGTGCCAAGTCCGGGAGTCCCGAAGTTTCAGGCGAGTCACTGTAGATGTGTGTGGCCTAGCGTTGTCCTGGCGAAACACAACACCTCTCCTGTTGGCCAATTCTGTCCGTTTCTGGTCAATTGTAAATGGTTTAAAACAGTTTTATGGTCGATTTCTAGTTCCTGGGCGATCATAGCCATCGTAACGGCTAACATGTCGATCAACTTCGATCATTTCTCTGATTTTATAGACATTTTCGACGACCGGCCTACCTGTGCGTGATGCATCTTTAACATCAATCTTACTTACTTAGCTGGCTTGTTACAGAACGTTTGTTCCATAAGCCGAGCTTAAAAAAGATTTCCAAGCGCGTCGGTCTTGTGCGCAAGTCCACCAATTTGGAAGACAACATTCTAAGATGTTGTTTTCTACTTGGTCTTTCCATCTAATTCGTGGCCTTCCCCTTCTACGGGAACCATCAGTAGGCTCATTTTTATATGCCTTTTGAGCTGGGGCATCTTCATGAACGGAATCTACGAAACGAAAATTGTACATAATTGGATGTTATAGTATCGGAACCATAAACACCATTCCCAATTTTAGCCGCTTGGCTTGAATTTTCACATTTGTCAAAGAAAAGTTGTAAAATGTACCGAATTTTTTGTTTGTTCACTTCCATTTTTAACACCCTGTAACTCAGAACCGAATTCAATAAAACAGCAAAATAGTTTTTTTTATTGTGAAATGTCACTCTTCCAACGATCATAAATCTGAAATTTACGTATTGACTGATCTATATGATTGTGTTACTAGATATAAATGTCATGGAATTCTAACTGTTACCGGCAAGCGCAACATTGATGATTGTGTTCTGTAGTTGGTTGATTTAATCGGTAGATCGTTATATACAAATATGAGCCAAGGAACATTTTTTGTAGCCCTTTAAATGGCTCATCATTTTGGAATGCATGGGCACACACAAAGGTCTCAGCGGAACTTCGGATGTCCACATCTCAAAATTGCATTTCTGCAAGGAAAATTGATTACCGGCCCCCTTAAACGTTTAACACATAGTAGGACTTCAGACTTGGCATGTTAAGTGGGCTTCTTTTATGTTTTCCAGTCTTGAATCCTCGTATGTGTTTCCCCTTTTAGGTGGCTCAAAATTAAAAAAAAAGTTTGTATCATTTTGATATTATTCGTTCACTACAATGAACTGGCAAAAATGAACTCCTGGCTGGTTCACCTGCTCCATCCAGTGAGTTATTCAATTGAACAAAACATAAACAAGTTGATTCGGTTAATGTGGTTTAGCGAAATAAATTAAATTGCTAGATTATTTGTATTTAACACAAGATGGGAGGATCTGAAAGAACTTCATCGCGATCATCGAGTTATCAAAGTTCAAGACATCGATCGTCAAGGTCGAAGGATAGAGAACGAGAGCGTGATAGATATCGTGACAGAGACCGTGAACGGGAACGCGATAGGGATCGTGACAGGGACCGTGATCGTGATAGAGACCGTGATCGAGATAGAGATCGTGATTATTATTCATCATCTTCCAGGCGACACAAGAGCAAATCAAAATCCAAGCATTCTAAAAAGTCTAAATATCACCGTAGAAGTTCTAGCTCCAGTAGTTCTTCATCAGACTCCTCGGAAAGTTCCAGGGACAGCCGCAGTAGTAGAAGTAGCCGAACGTCATCAAAATATTCAACATCTCGCAGTAGTAAGACTCGTGCTCCTAGTTCCGAGAGTAATTCTAGAAGTGCTCCCACTGTATCTTCTCAATCAGCGGCTAGCACATCAACTGCAACCAAAGGTATCGATTTGATGGATTGCAAAATCCAGAAAGCCTTAGAAACCATTGAAGAGGATTCCTTTAAGCCTATGGCGTTCTTTAGTACAAGAGATCGTGAGGCTCCAGAAAAATCGGATAAAGTCATCATAGATCTCAATGCTGAAACTGTCACATTTCCAAAGCCAATGGAGTTACAAAGTGATTTTACAAAGGAAGAAATATTTCACCCAAATGTAAGGAAACTGATCTGATTTTCTTCTGTAATGTCAATTTAATCTCAAATTTCTCTATTTTAGTTCTTAGGTGACCAAGAACAGAAACAGGATAAGTGGATCAGGAAACTATTAATGTACCGACAAAAATATATGTCTGAATAACTACATTTAAAAGTGTTTGAATCAAATAAAAGTCATAATATTAATATTTATAAGAAAATATAACATAAATTATCGAAATGTTTTTAACTAATTCATCGTGAGACTAAGGATTCACATTTTACAAAGACTGCCCTTTATAAATGCCATTACCGGCCATATGTCGTCTTTTTGTTTCAATATGTATGTTTTAAACATTCTATATCGAGGAAATGCCATATTTAAAGCAATGAATAAAATAATTTCAATTAATTGCTTGTGCCTGCATACATTTTTATTTATTTTTAAGGAAATTAAATATTGGTTTGTTACCATACTACACTAATTTATTTGTTGTTACTATTTTTTCAATATTATAAAAGAAAATTTGTTATCGTAGTAAAAAATAGTATTTCTTCCAGTACGGAAACATACATTATGTACTTTGCTGGACTAGGTTGTATTCGAAATGCTGAAATAGTCCTGATTTAGATTAGGCGAGTTTACTTGCGGCAATTATTATCGATCTCTTTTGAACTTGTTTCACGCGTCTATACAAGGCAATTCGGTTTCAAAACTATTTTTTATACCCTTCACCACACTGTGGTACAGGGTATTATGTCTTTGTGCATATGTTTGTAACAGGCAAAAGGAAACGAGATGGTTCCTTTTGAGAATATGCATGGAATCACATTCTAAGTCGATTTATGCATGTCCGTCCGTCTGCCCATGTTAAATTTTAAACAAAGTACAGGTCGCATTTATGATCCGAATTGGATGAAATTTGGCACAGCTCATTTATTTGGCCCAAGGACGAACCCTATTGAAATTTCGTCCGATTTAAGGTAAATGGCTATGGTATGATAAAGTCCCTATATATCATAGCCTAGAATGATGTGTGCTAAGTTTCATGAAGATCTGTTCAGATTTGGATATAGCTCCCATATATATTTTCGTCCGATTTTATATAAATGGTGAACCAAACTTCTAATGTTTGTCCGATTAACACGAAATTTTGCACAACGTATCAAAGTGAGACTTGAATGACGTTACAGGGTTTTGTTGAAATTGGTGCAGATGTTGCCATAGCTTCCATATGTATTTCGAAAGGTATCTGATTGAAATTATATTTTTAAATATAAAAATTAAAAAAAAAACACTAATTGAGCAATTAGCTTATGTTTAAGGGAACCCCCCCCCCCCCCCCCCAATCACGATTTAAATTTTTTAAGATTTTCAATGGGCTGGTAAATCAATACCAATGCTTGTTAAGGTTTGTAACTTTGCACATATATAATTGAAGATTTAAAAAAGAAGAAAAATAATTTACAAAAAATTTTTGTTATTGTTTTGTTGTTGTTTTTTGCAATTAAAGAAAAGTCCTTATTTTTGATGGCGGGCATGATAACTCCTCACTGGAACATCGGAATCCGAAAATTCCAACGGTGTTAGAAAGAGTACATGTCTGGCTCTCGTATGAACTAGGATTATTGACTTCGCTCTAAAATTAACAAAATGGTGGACCTTTGAAAAAATATTTTTGGAAAATCGCCGATTTTTGACCAAAAACCAAATTAAAAAATAAGGAAGATCTTCACCGATTGGCTTTATCCTAGTTCATACGAGAGCTATACACTCCCAGAGAAACGATGCAAAATTTGGAACTGATTGGATTATTAGTTTTTGAGTTATCGTGCCCGCCATTCGCAAAAAAATGTTTAGAGAAAAACGCGTTTAAAGTTTGAGAAACCCTTTAGGCGTCACTTGATGCTGACACACTAAATCGGATATATCTTCAACAGTTCTTGAGATTTTCACTTGAAATTTTGTAGAACGAGACTTTTCTATTCTGGAACAGGACGCCAAGATGGAAGAAAGCAAGAAAGATTTTCACAGGATAAAATGATACATATCGTCAGCTAAAATGCAAAAAGGCGTAACTAACAAAAACTTGAAAATTGACTTTTTGAATGAATATTGTGAATGTCAATAAACTACATGTGTTGACAAAGTTTTACACGTCTGCGGTCAAAAAGGAACTTCTATTAACAAAAAATAAAAAGACGTAACTACAAGTGGGTTTATTTGATAAATGCAAAAAGCCGTAACTAACAAAAAATTCACGTTTTTACTTAATTGTTATGACTGCCATTAAACTAAATAACTAAATTTGTTAAAAAAATTATAGTCTATTATTCGTCATATGCAATATCACCCTGTCGGGCATACTTTTTCACTTAACATGACATGTTTATAGATTTCATTCAAAACAGTTTTTTGCTTCTCCTACACAATTATGTTTTTTTTAGTTACGCCTTTTTGCATTTTAGCTAACGATATGTATTCAGCCCCCTTAAAACCATAAGATATATGGATTGTAACAAGTAATATTTATTCTGAAAACTAATATAAAACATGGAATAAACGTTTTACTTAAAAAATATTCTTATTTTTATAGAAGTATTAATGGAATTTCGCAACTATTCAGTTTTAGCTTCAGCTGCTGCCGCTTCACTGGTGCCATTCTTACTTGCGGGAAGGTCTTTAACTCCCGTCGATCCAAAGCCACCCTCGCCACGTTTAGTTTCCTCCAATTTGTCAACCTGTTCCAATTCCGGGTAAAATATGCGCTCACATATTAACTGGGCAATTCTATCACCACGTTTCACCTCAAAGTCGGTATCAGAGTGATTGAACAAAACCACGCCGAGGTTGCCACGATAATCTTCGTCAACAACGCCAGCTCCAACATCAATAAAGTTTTTAAGCGCCAGGCCGGATCGGGGTGCAACACGACCATAAGAGCCATTTGGGACTTCAATTTGAAGGTCTGTCTTTACCAAAGCCTTACCGCGTGCCGGAACAACCAAATCGTAAGCACTGCGTAAATCCAATCCAGCGGCTCGTTCCGATCCACGGACTGGTTCGAAGGCTTGTTCGGTTAATTTGGCCCAACGCAAAACACATTTGGTATCCAGCTTCATTCTTTTTGCTTGTACTTCGGTTTCTGTTGATTTATCTTCAGTACGTTCCATCTGTAAATTATTGAATGATTTAGATTTTCAAAATGCCCGCTAAAAGCACAAAAATTACTATGATTTTACAAACTCCAAAGGACCCGACAGCTAAAGCAATCTTTCTATCAATGAATGCCGGAGGATCTTTATTTGCAAGGGTAGATGTTTTGGCGGTTGAATGTGCAATGAAAGCCAAATAACGATTACTTTGTGCAAATTCGAATAAAATTCTATGTTTATACAACGACGTAAGGCAGTAGACGTCATAAAATCATAGAATATGATATGTTCGTTTAATCATATGGTATGTTCGTTTAATCAATAATAGGTGTGTTCGTCTAATTTTCCAGTAACATGTACTCAGTAAGAACTTACTAAAAGTAAACGAATAATTCGTTTTAAGACAGGAAATTGCAAAAAAAAAAAAAAAAATTTCATAACAAAAATTAGTAGCAAGATGAAAATTTATGTTGTTTTCAAAAACCTGTTCCTCATGCATAGTGGACATAACTAATGGTTTTCCAGACAAATTATGAGTGCACACTAGGGTCATGATTTTTTGACTTTTTTCAAAAACCATTTAATACTAAGTTTATTTCATTTAATATTATAATATTACGTACTACTGTTTTTTGTGGAGTAGTGGATTTAATTTAGAACAGAGTGCGCAAAAATTCGACACAAATATATGCTTTTTGTGTCAAAAGGAACTTAAAGGAAACCTATTAGGAAACATTAAAAGGCATTACGAGTCCATGCATAACCACAATTTTAATTTAATTAAGGCTCCTACTGGCGAAAGAAATCTAACCAATCGTCGTTTTAAGGAGTTTAGCGCAAAATTAACTGAAAACGGTTTTTTAAAGTGTTGTGTTGGAATGGTGACTGTAATAAGTTGAAATGTTGGTGTTGCTACAAGAACGGGCAAAAGTATTTTGGGAATAAATGTGCAATATATTAAAGACTTTAAAATTATTATAAACAATATTGGCATGATCAACAACAACGGAACAAAATGTTAAAAGCGTCAAAATCACTGCAGCAAGATATTGTAGATTTACAAAATGAGGAAATGGAAACAATATCTGACAATGAGAATGATTATTACGAGCTGGTACACGGCCGACTAAACTCGGTAATGGCAGTAGTACGATGCGCAGCACACACTATCCAATTGGCAGCTAATGATTGTTTTAAGGACATGCAATGTAAACTGGAAGATTGTAGAAAAGTTGGGAAACTTTTATGGGCTAACATAAAAAGCGGTCGATGCCCTGTAGATATTTGTTTGCCACCAATTGAAAGAATTACTCGATGGAACTCGACATTTGATATGATGGAATTAATTCTCAGTTTTAAGGATCAATTAAATGGAAACGATGTAGAATTTTCTATCGACTGTGAAATTGATTGGATCTTCATAAAAAATTTTGTCAATGTGTTTGCACCGATGGCACAATATACCAAGCAACTCCAAGCTGAGCAGTATATTATTGGCGATTTTTACAGAGATTGGCTTGTATGAAAAGCTAAGTTAAGGAAAATGGGAGAAAATGTGTTTGCTGTAAGGCTACTAGAGTCTATGACAAGAAGGAAAGAAAAATTGTTTGACAATGTTGCGTTTCTTTCCGGAATCTACTTCGATTTAAGGTTTAAATTTTTGGATTCACTATATATAATGATGTATGTTGTAGATACTCTTTTCATATCATTTCAACAACAAATTATTGCAGGCACATATATTAAGGACAAGTGCAACGCTTACTTCCTTAAATGGGGAAAGAACTATCACTGCCGAAGAAAGTAATGCCCTAGATGGTATGCCAATGTCTCATGACGACCGTTGTCAAATTTTGGAAGAAGAATTAAATAACTTGACAAGTAGCAAATTTTAAAGCCAAAATGATGCTAATATTCACCAAAAACTGGAAAATTTAGCATATGGAAAAATCTGTCAATTAAAGAAAAAAAATTGTTTAATCTGGCTGAAATAGTTTTAGCAGTTCCATCAAGTCAAGTGTCCGTAGAAAGAGCATTTAGTGCACTTTCCACAATTGTTAGCAAGCAGCGCTCAAGATTAAGCAGTACCACAATTAATAATTTATTAATAGTTAAGTTGAGTAACAATATAATGGAAAAAGTTAATATCTCATAAGGAATTTAAGAAAAATTAAATGTAATGTCTTTTTTATATACTATTTTTTTTGGCTTGAAGTGATTTTTTTTATCCATATTCTACTTTGAATTACACTTTTTTTTTTGCTGCGTGTGTTTTTAATGACCCGTTTGTTTATTGCTGCGCTTGCGAGCATTCGCGAATGGTTCTTTTTTGAGATTTTCAAATAAACGCTTGTAGCGAAGTTTTATTGTACGTAAATTTTTCGTGCAATGAGAGATTGTATATGTTTTTCATTCATTGTAAATTTATCATTCGCGATTAATTGAAAAACATTCGAATTCTCGCGATGAGCATTCGTGAGAAAGAGTGTATTTTAATCATTCTCCGCACCCTGATTTAGAATTATTTAGTATGGATAGTATTGCAGTAGGTTAAATAATAACTATAGTAGTGTGCAACTACTAATGACCTTTTTGGCTCTGTTGCAAAAAAGCGAGTTAAATTAAAGAATTTTAATAGAGAAATTAAAAAGGTCCTGCGAAATACACTTTGAAATAATGTTTCTGTGAAAACTACTATAACTATACAAGGTAGTCTCATGCAGTCATATGTTTGAAATGTACGCATATCATGTGTTCAGTGACAAAAATTGCTAAATAATTTATCTCTGTCTCTAAAAATTATAAATGTAAGTTGTAACAATCATTTTTAAATCTTGAGAGCAAATTTCAGCTTTAGAAAATACCCCAATCGATACACATACAATTTTATGTAATTTATTTTCCATATTTTTTAAAATTGATAGATGATTTCCAAATTAAAAAGGGTTGCCATCATTAAATTCTCAAATGAGACTACCTTCTTTAATTATGCCATTAATCATACATAACCAAAACGAAAAAAGTATCGATTTTTATACAATCCACGAAAATATATAAAAGTTATGAACAAAATGAGACATTTATCATAAAGATCGGTGAACATTCCACGTTTTTATTTACAATTCAGGGAAGGTATATAATTTACTATTTTAATTTAGGTGGGACGCTGATTATGATTTTCACAGTTTTTCGTGGGATACTAAAACGGCGTATACATTAGGACTTTTTACCGGGTTAACTTTATGAGGATTTATTTGACATATATGCAAAGGAATTGAAAATTGAAATCCACTGGGTTAACGAAATACAGTTAAATTAAAACGTACTATAACGGTTATGTAATTTTGTATGCCTTTAAGCATTATGGAATTTTTTTTCAAAAATTCGTATAAATTCTTATAAATAAAAATTCCAAATGATTATGTGCGAGAGGTTCCTTATAGAAACACCTAATCATTGAGATTTTTTAATCTTATGTGAAAATTCGTCAAAATGTGATGCTGGTATACGAGGTTGAAAAAAAAATGTTTGGATTAAACACCTAAAATCGTTCACCAATATCCATTGATCCATTTTAATGTTTAATGATACAAATTCAAAATAAAAATAAACAAACATTCAAGTTGCTGCAGAATAAATTGTTTTTATAGATCACAACAAAACATTAGATTAAATGTCAGCTGATGTTACTGGAAAATCGTTACAGGGTAAATTTTCCTCGCATGAAAATATGTTATGTACCTACATTTGCCCTCTTAGACAAATATGCTCCCTAAATTTGCCCACTTACAATTTGTAACCAATTATTGAGATACCTAATACACCTAATGTCAGACCTCCAAGTCCCAAATATATAGAGATGGGGGAGAAATTTCATGATCGGTGTGTCGGTATACTCGTAAGGCAGATATACGGGAACTACATTAAATGTTTTCAATGGTCTTCCGTTCAATATCGTGATTTTAATTATTTTTAACTGTACAAAGTCAAGTTTCAGGACAGTAGTTTCAGTTTTCTCAGAAATTTTGTAAAATTATACAAAATGCAAGAAACAGCAAGATTAAACCGAATACACATCCATTTAATAGGGGATATAGTGATGATTTCATCGCAATACGGCATTTGAAAAGAAAACAGCTAAAGTATTACATCTACCGTATACGATAATAGTTTACCCTTAATTTGTACAATCCTTGCATTAGATACAGTGATTTCCGGCACTCTATGAAAAAAATCTTTTTGTTTTTAACAAAATTCATTTATTGTGTGTATGTATGTTGCTTTTTTTTTTGCAAAAAATGGCATCATTATCTCTTTTTTATTCAAACAGGCAAAAATGGTTTCTATCTTTTTTTAATTCAACAAAGAAAAAACATTTTCCGGCAATGGGTTATATTTCAATGTTGGAAAATGGTGTCGGTTAGAAAAATGAAAGCTTTTATATGAATATGGTCATAAGAGTTATGCATGTATGTATATAATTCAATAGGTTACAAATTATTTATTATTATACTTTTTTTTTGTAATTTTGTAATCCAATATTTATTTTTTGTTTTGTAATTTTGTTGTTGTAACACTAAGTGTTTCAGACTTATTTTTGCACATGATTCTAAAATGGGAAGATATGCCCACGTTTCTAGGCTATCTTTCTATTGCAATAGAGTGCCGAAGTGTCCTACGCCTTGTAGGCCTTCGCTATCGACTCCTCTCCTCTTACAACGTCCCTATGTAAGTGTTGGGCGATGAGTGCGCTCTTCAGTAACATTAGGTTTATCTACGTGAAAGCATAATGCTGACTACATTTCCAGTGTTGTCTAATACTTGGCGGGCTTCGTTTACACTAATATTTGTAAAATCACATCCGTCCACATCTAATAGTTTGTCGTAGAGACACAATAGTCGTGATGCATCGGTATCTGGCGTGGTCGCGACGACGTAAATGCCTTCTTTATTGGGCAAGGCGTCTATTTGGAAACCACGTTCCGTTTCCCATTTCAATGAGATTTGTTTGACAGTAGGATTCTTATGTACTCCAAAGAGCCATGGAGTTTTGCTTTTACTGTTGTTGGGCTTACTTGCGTTTGGAGCTGCGTTCATGTGTGGTGATGCTGTTCTTGAGTTGTCTGCTGTAATGTTATTATTCTCCTTTGTAGCATTGGTGTCGAGTATTGCAGTATCTGTCGTATCTGTGCTGTTGTCCATTGTATGATTTTGACTCCGTGATGCACTGGTCGGGGCATCATATTGCTGGGTTATATGTGAAGTTTTAAAATTATTCTGATAGTCCGTTTCATTCGTCGTCAACGGTTGTATCATTTGGTAGATTTCATGAGAATGTCCATCAATATTCTCCATAGTGTGATTTTGTTGCTGCTGTTGTTGTTGTTGTTTTTGCCGTATAACCTCGTAGTTTGTCAAGTCTTCTGGTGTCTTTTTGGTGAAACTCCGAGCAATGTGATACGGTGGCGGATCAGGCAAATTTCCATTTGCTGTTCCGAGCGTCATTTGACTCATTTGATGGGTCATCATATTGGAATGGAAGTATATTGGTTCTTGTGGTTGAGATGGCGACAATGTATTTGGTTGTTCTTGTTGTTGGTAGTAGTATTCCTGTATTGGCTGTTGATTAATAGGCAGCTGCTGTTGCTGCTGGTGATATTGCTGGTAAACTGCAGTTGGACTATTTTGCTCATAGTAAATGTTTCCATTGGGCACAACACCCATGCCATGGGCGGGTAAGTGTGCGGTTTCATTGATCTGTTGGTACGGTTGCTGTTGTTGCCATTGAACAGAGGAAGGATGCGTTTGCAGAATAATTTGGTCGCCACCCTCCCTGGGAGAATGATGCAAAGCATAATTGGTGACATATGTCGCGCCCGACTGATTGCTGGGTATAAACTGAACAAATTCCTGCTGGCCACTTGGAACACCATTTGCAGTTTCACTAATATTTCCAACTTGCTGGTTGTACTGTTCCTCATAAGGTTTGTGCTGATTACGGCGCAAATACTTCGCCATAAGCCGCAATTCCTTGGGATACGGAGTTGGAGAACGCATTAGAAAGTCTTTAGCTTGTGCTGCAGGTACAAAATGAACATTATCCCGTATCTGGCTTGTACCACCGTACGCATTTGAGGGCATAACAAAGGAAGTGGGCGCCGCTGCGGATGTGGAGGGTTGCGGTGGTTGCTGCTGAGGCAAAGGCACTGGCAACAAATCGTCAGGTTCGCTGGTCTTTCCGGTTGTCGTTCCAGTTGTGGGTGAATTTTGATTCGTATTGAGTATTGTGGTTTCCTCAGCAAAACATATGCGACGAGTGGGACTTACACAGTTATTGCGGACCGCCGCAGCACTGTGCGGTTGCCGTCTTATGCTATTGTGTAGCTGGTCTTCTGATTCGTTTTCTTTGCCTCTGGTGTTCTGCTTAGAGCCAAGCTGGGGCAGCATGAAACAGGTTAAATGCGTTTTCTTGGTGGCGTCCACATATTGCAATGGCACCAATGGCTGAGCCTGGTTATTGCTTATCCATAGGGAAGTCAAATTTACTAAACTAAATACCGACACAGGCAATGTGGCGATGTGATTCTGGACAATGTTCAATACTTTGAGCTGCCGCAGGTGGCCAATATTGCTTGGCAACTCGGCGATTTTGTTCCGACTGACACTGAGGACGCTCAGATTGCTGCAAGAGCAGATTTCATCGGGCAGCTGACGTAAGTCGTTATCGTCGGCAAACAGATACCTCAGTTTTCTCAGAAGGCCTATCGTGTTGGGCAAACGTTTCACCTTGTTGTGGCTTATCACCAGTTCTTCGAGATTCTCCAGGTTGGAAATACTATCGGGTAGCTCGGTGAGTTCGTTCGACTCGCACTTGAAGGTAACCAGGGACTTTAGCATGCCTATGCTAAATGGGAATGTTGTCAAGTCGTTTGTAGAGATCGAGATCACTTCCAAATTGTGCCAGTTGCTTATCTCGTTTGGCAGCGAACTGATGAAGTTTCCATTGGCCTCGAAATGCTGCAGTTCACGCAGTTTACCAGCCATGGGCGGTATTTCGCGTATTTGATTGAAATCGAACCAGAACTCGCGCAACTGTTTCAGTTCAAAGACAACATCGGGCATTTTGGTAAACTCGTTGCCGCCAATATCCAGACGCTGTAAATTCGTCAGTCGCTGCATCGATTTTGGCAAGGATACCAAGTTGTTGAGGCGCAACTCCACTATACGGAGATTAACCAGCCGACCAAAGTTGGCCGGTAAGAATTCCATGTAGGTTTCATTTAGCAACAATTCCTGCAGCGATATCAACGATGTAATGGCATCCGGCAAGCGTTGCAGTGTATTACAGCTAAGATCTAAATGGGTCAGATTCTTGCAAGACTTAATACTGTCTGGTACATTGGAAATGTAGTTGCGATTCAAATTGAGCTGCTGCAATTGACGCAAGGTCCCCACCGCCTCGGGTATAGTCTCGAGATTATTATTGTTGGCATGGAGAATCTTTAGGCCCTGACAGTAGAAGAGCTGCGGTGGTAGATTGTTAATTCGGGTCGATGTCAAGTACAGTTCTTCCAGAGTCCTCTCATGCTGCCAAACCAGTGGGAACACATCGGTGAGTACGGTATTACTGTAGTCCAGTTTACTAACAACTTCCTCGTTCTTGAATTGCAGACAAGGGAAGCATTTCGATAAAGGCATCTTTGTTGAAGGTGTAGTTTTACATTTGTGGTATGTCAGGCAGGCAGGTAGGTGTGAGATGATAAGGAAGAGAGCAGAACACAGATCGTATCACAAGAAGGCACAGTGAATGGAAATGCTCATCAACATTAAATGCAAATGGAGCGCAGTGATGTTTTAGTCACAGATTTGCTTGTATTTAGCAGCGGTCGTTCCAATATGACTCTGCCATTGTTTATTTATGAATTGAATAAAGTATTGATTGTAGTAGAGTTTTTTGGTTCACGTTCACGAAAGAACTAGTTCATCATCAGGCAATTCACGTTAAAATGATTACTTGTCGTGCTATCCAATATAAAATGATTACTAGTTAGGATATTCACTATAAAGTGTTACCACGACAACGAGGATTTTAAAGAAGAGTACACACTATCAGTTTTACTATCGGTTTTTTGAAAAGATTGAAGAAGATTGAAATTTTGGGAGAGGGTCACTCTTGGTCCAAAGGTGACGAAAAGTACTAAAAAGTGTTAAATGTGATACCATTTGTATTTGGCGAACCGGTGGAACTAGAATTCTGAAATTTGGTTTGGTGGTCGATGATGGAGTGTAGGATAGATGTACCAAAGGGTTTTTGGAAATTCGAACTATAACTATCCGAAAAGTACGAAAATGTACTAAATTTTGTACAATTCTGTAGCATGTCAACGGATAGCGTTATAAACTTGAAATTTGGAATTTTAATTAAGATTAAGAAGTAAGGAGATGCCAGTTTTTTTCGGAGTGTAGGTATGGGATATAGACGTAGTTTTGGAATTTTTTTTACTGATGTGTAAGAAAAGTACAAAATCGTACGATAGAGCGGAAACAATGAAATTTGCAGTCAGGGTCACTGTGGGAGTGTAGGATTGGGGGTCAGGCAATTTATATTCATGGAATTTGGAGTCAGGATCAATGTTGGGGTGTAAGATCGAGGTATGTAGGAAGTTTTAAAAAATTTTACTAATGTGTAATACGGCATTTACATTAGAACTTTTTACCGGGTTAACCTACTTCATGAGGATTTATTTGGCATATATTCAAAGGAATTGAAAATTTAAACCCACTGGGTTAACCAAATCCGGTTCAATGTAAACGACCTTTAATACATTTGGATTTAGGATTTAGGATAACTGCAGGGTGTGGGTTTGGGTTTAGTAGGAAGTATTGGAAATTCGTACTACTGTGTACTAAATTTCGTACAATTTAAATTGTGGGTGAACCAATAGACTTGGTTTCTAACGGTCTTTAGTTTCTAACGGCGGACGTTTACATCTTAAGCCGCACACACCAGCAGAAATAAGGGTTTTCTATCGCATTTTGGTCAATACAAGTACGTTTGATTTTATATATGCAATTTCGAACCATATTAAAGGATTAGTTTTAAAGACAAACTTTTTAAGGAAATAATATTGCACAATCTGTATGTGGCCGAATGTGCCCCACTTTAAAATGCCGAATGTACCCCGTTTTTTCATTTTTTTGATCAGTTTTGTAAAAACATTATATTTTTAAATATTTCCATAATAATACACATCGTAGTTAACCACTTTTTAATAATATTGCCTTAAAAATTTAAAAAGTTTTATACGCGAAATACTTACGAAATGAAATTGAAATATTACAGAAACATCTATAAAAATATAAAAACCCATGTATCTAAATAAGTTTATTAGCTAGAAATTTCAAACTTTGTGTCAGTTATTTATTTCGATATTGGATACCTATGTATCGAAACTAGTGATGTACGGTGAGAGCTTCATATCGAAAACGCGATTGCCGAAGGTGCCCCGATGCCGAAGGTGCCCCAGTCTCCCCTAATATGTGCGAAATGGAACTAAATTTGGTACAATTTGGATTTTGGTGAACCTTTAGAGCTCGTATCATGAAACTTGGTACTAAATGGTACTCAAATTTAAATTATGGTCGATTTAAATATGTGTAGATTGATTAGTTTTTCTGACATATGCAGTTTTCTTTGAAAATAAAATAATATGTTAATACATGTTTAAATATATCCCACATTCGATAACGAAGTAGCGGGCATATGCTAGTATTTACATAAAAACATATTAAACAGTTTGTTTTTATTGGTTTTTTACAACTTTATTAAGGGAACCCCCCCCCCATTCTGCGTGTCACTTTTTTTTATTCTAGAATGTCCCTACAAAATTTTAAGTGAAAATCTCAAGAACCATTCCCGACCGTTAAATTCGTCCGTATGCCTTTTGGATTACGAAATGCTCCAGCGACTTCCCAGCGTTTAATCGATCGTCTGAAGACAACCATGAGTGACATAATATTGTTGGCATACCTAGACGACATCATTATTTGTTCCCCTACTTTCGAACAGCATTTGGATGATTTACGGCAACTATTTCAGCGGCTTCGAGAATTCGGCCTAAAGGCAAACTTAGAGAAATATCGTTTTGCATACAAAGAAAAATGCTGCATGGAAGTGGACTTCAGACCAACAGACAGCATTTGATCAAATTAAGAAATTGTTAACCACAGCACCTATTCTCAAGCAAGCTGAAGATAACCAAATGTTTGTACTAAAAACCGATGCAAGTAGCTATGCTCTTGGTGCAGTTTTACTCCAGGGGGAGGGCCCTGATGAGCATCCAATAGAATACGCAAGCAGATTACTGACTGACGCGGAACGCAACTCTTCAACCATCAAAAGAGAAGCACTGGCAATTGTTTGGGCAATGCAAAAATTTCGTGGTTACGTCGAAGGATACCAAGTTAAGCTGATCACTGACCATCAACCTCTGAAGTGGCTAATGTCCATTAAATCACCAACAGGACGCCTGGCTAGATGGGCACTTCTTTTACAACCGTTTAATATCCAAATTGAATACAAGCCTGGAAAAACGAATATTATTGCTGATGCATTGTCCCGGCCTCCTTGTCAAGATGTTCATGAGGAAAAGGAACCATGCGAAATATGCGCCTTCTAGCCTAGGAAAAATTCTAAAGAAATTAGAGAGAGCCAACTAAATGATCCTGAACTCAAAACCATAATCGAATGTCTGGATAAAAATGAAGAATACGAATCATATTGGTCTAATAGAGTATACTTCATCAACGATGGCGATGGAACAGAAGAGCCACAACTTGTAGTACCTAAGAGCGAAAGGATGGACATTTTGAAATTTTATCACAACAGTGACACTGCCGGACATTATGGAATCCAAAGGATTACGCAAAAAATTACAACCCGCTATCACCAATTGGTGAAGATCTTCCTTATTTTTTAACATAGTTTGGCGATTTTCCAAAAAAAAGTCAAAGTTCCCTTAAATAAGGAAAATATCGCGAAAAATGAATGGAAAGTCAAGTTTTTTTTCACAAATATTGTTATAATAATATAACAATTTTCACAAATATTGTTTTTCCTGAAAGCTGTAATGATGAATTCTAATAACAACTGAATTTCGAAATAATTAAATTTGTTTAATATTTTTCAAGGCATGACAAACACCATTAACCTAACTCTTGTTATTGTACCATGCGTGGAAGGTAAAATAAATATAGCAATGTTTGGTTCTTCTAAATTAAATTTTATTCCAAAAATATTCTAGAAAAAGTATATCTACATATATATTTATTTACAAATGTATGTATGTATGAATGATGATAACGCACATGCACACCTTTGCAGGCAATTTTATAAAATATACAAATCATTATTGCTAAATAATTTCTATGTACGGGTATATGCTTTTGTTTTAACAATATTCCATTAGTTGAAGTAATTGACAATAAATGAGTATTTTATTTAAGGGTCATACACTGGTACTGTTGATTTTGTCGCAAACAGAAAACAAAAACAACAAGTTCATGTTTAATCTACTATACTAACAAATTATAGAAATAATAATAAATGTTGTTCGAAATTTGTGGAGCAACGCTTGACTCAAAGCTGTTATCCATTTTGCTGGAATGGTGATCTCTGGTGTCTCTCCACAATTCGCATTTATAAAAATTAAGTGGATCGGGGGAACGGCAGTGTGTTTAGCTTAACTGATATGACATTTCAATGGTCCAATCGCATCAATCATTAAAATAATTCGTTGTTGGTTTCTTATATAACTATGAAATTAATTATTTTATTTATATACAAATATAACAGAGAAAATAAAAAAGTAGAGCGGCGAAAAACAGTTACTAAAGTTTTCAAAGTAGCAAAGGCTGTAGATGTGTCAATTGAAATCAAAATTGTTTAAGGAAATAACGTGAATAGATGTAATATTGGAAGACAATCATCGATACATTTCATCTTTGCAGTTGTGACCTAAAACTTAATCTATATAACGTAGGCAATTTGTAAAAAAAACATCTAATTAATTAATATAAATTATATAATAGACACAAAATAGTTACGCCATCAAATACAAACAAAAAATGCATTTACAGACGTCCCGTATTATTGCTGTTAGTACCCCATGTAACTTGTGGTGGATTTCTGGTCGTTAATCTCAGTGAATTGACTTCGTCTTCTTCGGTTACATGTTCGTATCCCTGGTTTATGGTGCCACCACCGTTGGAACCATAGATTTGCTGAAAATAAATAAAAATAATAATTTAATTAAAAACATATCCACTTCCGAAATAGGGAAACATATAAACGTTTAGACTATTTCTCGATTTCAACCGTCATTTTCATATTTTGTTTGACGTTAGTATTAATTGCACATCACATCATGATATTGCACATCAAAACTGAAAATAATTTAAAATAATATAATAAATAGGTAGTCCATTTAGAGCAGCTGATGTCCCGATTAACTGTCAAAGTGCGTAATTTCTACTTGAATTCGATGTGCAGTGTTGCCAACCATGTGAAATAGTATAAGGAAAATTTTGACAGATAATCGAGACAAAAACAAAGGTTTTTGTTTTGATACATCACCTTATTATTGCATTATGCCACTGGATTTGTGAACATGATTATGGTGAAGTATACACTATGGAATTCACATTTGAGATCGAGTGAGTTTAGTACAATAAACGTGTTCTAACTGTCAAAGTGCTTAGTTTTTACTCAACGCCTATTGATAAGTTCACCCAGCTAGCGAAAGTCGGCAGTTGATTCCCAAGTCTAATGTCAAAAATTTGGACTTTGTTAACGTTTTCCTAATGGTAGTCAATTCACAATAATGCATTTTGACAGCAAACTTGAGATATCAAGCTGGTCTGCTTGGATAACCTCATGATGCAATAAAAAGGTGATATATGATGCAATAATAAGGTGATGTTTACCAACAAAAACCTTTGTTTTTGTCTCGATTATCTGTCAATTTTTTCCATATAATATTTCAAATGGTTGGCAACACTGCACATCGAATTCAAGTAGAAATTATTCAATTTCACAGTTAATCAAGACATCAGCTGGACTACCTATTCATTGTGCCATAAGGTGATGTATCAAAACAAAAACCTTTGTTTTTGTCTCGACCATCTGTCAAATTTTTCCTTATAATATTTTACATGGTTGGCAACACATCGAATTCAAGTAGAAATTGCCCACTTTGACTGTTAATCAAGACATCAGCTGCGCTAAATGGACTACCTATTCATTGAGCCATGGATAACCGTATGAATAGACCTTTGGTCTGTTACTGCAAGAGTCTCCTAATGTTTACTATTTGTTCGATATCATAAAGGAAAAATAGTACATTCTTGCAGTACGGGAACAAACATTTGTTTCTACTTGAATTCGATGTGCAATGTTGCCAACCATGTGAAATATTACTAGATAAAATTTGACAGATGGTGGGATAAAAAACAAAATTTTTTTGTTGCTGCTAATGGTCAAAAAATGTACGACAAAACGTGTGAATTTTTTGTAAGCAATTTGTATATTTTTGCAAGTTAAATTACGAGCTTTTAATGTGATTCTCTTCTTGGTACAAAAACAGGACTGTATTTGAAATTAAATGATTGAAATTTGAATTATTTTCACATGTTTGTGTTTATATTCAATAGCTGTCAAATGCAAAAACGAAGAAAAATATTAATAGAATTATTGTGTTTAACACGTATTTTAATTTGCAAATAAAAATATTTACGGCGCAAATTAAAAAAATTGTGGGTACACTAACAAGCATCAGCTGATTAAAATTTAGATAATGATTAAAGGTATGTGTAAACAGTTATGGTATATTTGTGGATTTAGTTAATCCAGTCGATTTAAAATCGGATATATACATGTACTTTTACTTGGTCGTCATTTCGGTCAAATAAATCGCGGTATTAGGTATATTCGTTTACTCAATAATTTGGTTTAATTTGTACAAATTATGATTGGATGATGTTCGCTTACTCAATATTCCAGTAGAAAATGTATATTTCGCGCATAAATATTGAGAGCTAATGATAAACTTACCTCTCCTGGTCCACCATTTACATTAAAGACATCCTTAATACTAATGCCTGCATTAGAAACTCGCCCACTTCGTGTTGGAACGCCACCATTATTATTAAGCTGAAAATAAGATAAATAAATTATAAATATTTTTCCGCAAGACAAATTTTCTCAATACTAACCGTTGCAGCTGTGGTAATGCCATATTCATTTTTGGCTCCCAACGTTTGCATGGCGGACTTTCTTCTCTCAGCCATAACAGAATTTTTGCGAACTTCCAATGCCCTGATGGTTTCGGCACGCATAGTCAGTCGTCGCGTTAATATAGGAGTTGCTACAAAATGAAATACATAATTTAGTATTTGGATTTTTTTCTATTTATGTTGTATAATTCTATCTTCCCGTATCCTATTTGTTTCTCCAATTACTTACAAGGATTATTTTCTGCATCGGCCGTCAATTTCATAAAACGCTTCTTAAATGCCACATCCAGGGTACCAATCTGTCGTCTGGGCTGTCTTGCCTTCTCCAGATTCTGTATAGTTTTTCGTCGGGCAATACGATCGGGACCGCTACCAGAATCATTATCGTAATCTTCATCGATGCCTTGCAGCCGTTGTAGATTTTTAACAATTTCCACAGCATGCTTTAAGGGTATGGGGAGGCGAAAACAAATATTCTAGTATCCATAATAAAAATGTCTAAATGCCAATTCACTTACCTTATCTATCAGTGCATCTTGTGACAGTTCTTCGGGTTTCTTCTTGAAGAAATTCAATTCGGTAGAGGATAAAATATGAGCCAAAGTACCGAATCGATGGAACAACATGGCTGTAAATTGAATGACCAAAATCAAGGCAAAGAAGAACACGAAGACTAAACCAATCGGTTCCAATTGTAGATATTCCTTAGATATGTGGACCTATGCACGATGACAGATTGAAGATAAAATGTAAAAAATAAAGAATATTAGTATGTAATTCGATAGTTTTTTAAGGAGAATCTTATGTTAGGTGTTAGTTACAATTTCTTTAACAGAAAGTCTTTTTGGGGATAGGAGTTTAATTTTTTTCTGGAATGCTTTATGAAACATGAAATAATTTTTAATTGTTGTTGTTGTTGTTGGTAAGGATGTAACAAGTGAAACGTTCATGTGACACGTGTAAGTGAACATTTGAATGCATGTCTGAATTGTTTTATTTATTTTTAGTGCCGACACAGATTAGGAACACCAAACCGACGAACCATTGGCTCATTCCCCATGTTTTGTTGTTGTTTTTTTTCTGTTTTTATTATTTCTGTCTGTTGGATTGGCAAGCCACCAGAGAAGTACGTACATACATGTTGATTGGTTTTTATTGAACACAGGTTGGGAATTGAGGTGAATGAAAACGGATTAGGAGTGTGAGAGCGTTATATGCTCGGGAGCCTTGGAGAGCCTTGGTGGATAGCAAATTAGGTTTTAATTGAAAGGCTGTTTGATTGATTGATTTTGTATATTATGAAATTAGATGAGAATGACATCAGGTTAGATTGTCACACAGCCATATACATATACATACATATATACACATACATTCATACATATTTTTATAACATAATATTTTGGGGAATAAAGCTAATAAATTGGTTTTCCTATTCAAGATCTCTAAATTGTGTTTATTATCCGATTCTAGTCCTAAATTTGAATAATAATCCTTATTTAATATTTTATTTAATACAAATGATACACAAATATTTAATAAAAATCCTTTTTTGTGACGTTTTGGTTTTAGAACATCGATTTTAAATCTAATACATTTCTAACTTTATGTATAAACTTTTATCTCCCCATATCTTAATTTCATTTTGTTATAGAATCTCTATGATTTCCCGTAGAAATAAAATCTGCAATTCCTAAATATTTTTTATATAATGTTAACAAAAAATCTAAATTTTCCTACACCTTGAGTATTTAAACAACTATCAAAAATATATGTTATTTTATTTCATACCAAATGCCACAAAGCATGCAGTAAACTCAAATGAACCCCTAAATACCTGAAACTATAACCCAAATCTCATCTTCTAATACAACATTGAATATAATTCATTCCAATTTTAATCATTGACAATGTCCACCAACAAAAGTGTAACAAAAACAATTTATTATGAAAAAAACTATAAATTGTTAGTGTTGTAGCCCTAATTAGCAAATTATTCCCAGTAGACTTTTGGAGTGATAACAGTTAAAAAGGTATGGTATGTTTACACCAGGGTATTCTCTCTATTAAGGCCAGATCATGATGCAATAATAAGACGATGTATGAAAACAAAAACATCTGTTTTTTATTCGACCATCTGTCAAATTTTATCTAGTAACATTTCCCATGGTTGGCAACACTACACGCCAAATTCGAGTAGAAATTATGCACTTTGGCGGATAATCGGATAGTCAGCTGTGCTAAATGGAGTACCCATTTATTGTGCCATGGGTAAGATGATTTGAATTTTAGACTACTAAATCCACTCAATTTCAAATGTTAATTTCATAGCGCATACGTCAAATATAATCCACTGGATTTGTGAACAGGTTTATCGTGACCTATACGCTATGGAATTGACATTTGAGATCGAGTGGATTAAGCGCTCTTAATCATGTTCGCGCTCTTAATCATGTTCACATGCTGACTATCAACTTTATATATAATAATTTAAATACTATTCTAAACAGCTAGAACTGTGTACATCTATTTAGAAATCGGATCGATTTAAAGGCATAGTTTAAACGCGACTTTATTGTAACATAGTACTACTTTTACATCGTAACATAATACTATATTTACCACGTTCGATGTAAATTACCATAAAGCACAAGGTCTGCTCCCGTACTCAAAAACTTTTAACTATTTTCAATTTCATAAAGTCCCCCTTATCGAATACAATTTCAATTAAATGAAAATTCTTGCACGTTCTGGAATAGATCAACTGACAGTTGCTGTCAGTAAAACAATGTTTCATCAGCTGTTTTAAGGTCAACAGATAAAATATGTATTAAATCATTAAACATGAACACTGGACACACTGTCAAATAAGAAAAGTTCCAGCCTAAAACTTGTATTCTGTATAATTTTCTGCTCTCAATAGAAGCTACTTCGTAATTCGTACTTTAAAAGCTCTAAAAATTTGCCTGGACATTTTTCTTTACGTTTAGACAATATCGACTAGATTTATAAATCAAGGTATTAAATCCTTACTGTTTAGACTTGTATTAAAATGATATAAAGTTGTCAGTCAGCTGATATTTGTTTACGTTTCCATACATATCCCAAATATATCTTGTCAAATTTTTCTTAATTAAATTGAAAATTTAAGAAATGTCAATTTCTTCAAAATACAATTTCTAAAAAAATATTATCACTCCAAAATAGCCCAAATCTATTTTAACCGAAAAAAATAAAATAAATATATCGCAACTAGTCAATATCAAACATCCTTTATACATAGTAAACATAGGATAGAAAGTGGGAGGTTTTTTGGGGTGATAGGGTTAACAAAAGGTAAATTGTTGAAAAGGGGTCAGGAAAAAGGGTGCTAGTAGAAGATTTCAAGAGTGACGTTAAATTCCGGTGGGTGTTGGAAGAAATAAAGGATTCTGGTTAGGGGGGAAACAAACACACACACACATAAAATAACATTTTTACATAGAGATACATAGTATATATATAGAGAGAGAATGATAGTAACACATTGAACAAACAAATTGAGGGTAATTTTTGTGGTGGTTGCAGGTTATTTATAAAGAGAAAAACATATTATTTTGATAATAGTATTCGTTTGATAAAAACCTCAGATGTCTCTTCAATGTACGTTATGTTCGTCTTGACGCCCAATGGCCACACAATGTGAAGCTTGTCCTTGTTCAATTGCAACAAGAAAACGATCAACACAAACAAGGCATTGGCCATGAAGAATGCGAACACCGACTTATTCCTCAATTCAATCAGATCTGCAGCGATACGAGCCTGCATTAAATTGTTCGAATGGTTGGTTTGTTTTGGATTTTGAGATTTTTGTTTCGTATTTGCCCAAGACGTATCGTACGTTGCCGGCACATCACAAAGCATAATTTTTGTGGTTTTGGTATCGAAATTGATTTTTTTGGTTTTGTATTTTGTATCATTTAACATTCATGTTTTATAAGCCCAACAAGATAAATAATATAGCAATAAAATAAAAAAAGAAAATAGAAAAAAAAGAAAAAATTGGTTAATAATGTTGTACCGGAGGGATTTCCCTTAGAATGTGGACGAACGTGGTGGCCAAGTTCGTCGTCGTATTCCTCGAGAAATCCCTTTAAAAATTACCTCTTGTGTGGATTCGTCATATGTTATGTTTGTGCGTACACCGAACGGCCACTTGACGTGGATATTATCCTTGTTCAATTGCAACAAGAACACAATGAGAACGAACAGCGCATTCACCATGAAGAATGCAAATACCGACGAATCGCGCAATTCTTTAAGATCTTTAGCAATTCTTGCCTAAAATGTTGAAATTGTTTATAAAGAAAACTGTTATTGTATCAAAATTTCAATTATAAATATTTTAAATTAAAGTATCCCTGGGAGTTTTTTATTTATAAATAACGTTGGAAACAAGAATGGGGAGACAGGACTGTATTTATTATCCATTGGAGCTTAAAAAAATTGGAAAGATCAGAGAAAGGCACTAAGAGTGATGTTGACCTGAAAGGTATTGAAATGTATCTTTAATGTTAATCCGACAAAGGCTGAATAATTTAAATATTCCGGCGGAAGTAGTTATCAGTTGCCAAGGAGTCTATTATTTCAAGAAGAGATAGAATAGCTTGGAGGTCGAATATAATTATTTCAAAATTAATACGATTGTAATGGGACTGGGTGTGGTCAATTCTGATTAGAATATCAAAAGGAGTTCCAGATTTTATATGAATAATATCTATGATTTTTGGAACTAAAGTAAAATAATGGTAAAATAATGATGGTGAACATCATTTAAATCACACGAAGATATATTTTAGGTTTATATTTTTATCTGATACATATATCAAATTTAACACAGATTCATCTGCTTGGATTTGATTGCGTTTGTAAAATTTCGTATCAAAACTTTTGGAAAAGTTTCAAATTTTCAACTGAAATTGAAATATATAATTGCGAAAATTCAACTATAATCCATATCTCCTTTTATCCATTCTTGTACAAACGTATCCATTTCGGAAAGTCTCTGAAAGGCCTATGAAAAATTAAACATTTGCTGAAACAAAAGTAAATAATTAAATCTTGTCTCACGGTGTACATATGTGATAGTGTACATATGTCTCTTTTTTACACAAGAATCCACATCTTCTCCCCAGCAACTTGAAATATTACCTGTTCCACGGGATCATTATCGATGGGGAAGAGATATTTATCAATTAAATCTTTCCAGAATTGAATTTCAGCACTTGACAAATAATCCACTTCACCCTTACGTAAATCGGGATCTTCAATCCAGTAGGGGTTGGTAAGGAAATCTCTTTCCTGTTTAGGTTCGCCGGAAGAATCAGAATCACTGTTTTCCGATTCATCGCCAGATTTCTCTGCCACGGATGACAACAGATGATGGTCCTTCGAACTGCCAGATGTGGTGCGTCGACGATGATGACGATTGGAGGAATTGTCATGGGGATTAATGGTTTGTTCAATGCTATCGATGCGATTCTTAATGGTATCCAATGAATCGGCAATGGCAGTTAGTTGCTGCTTTTCATCTGATGTTTTGCCATGGGTACAGAACATACAACGGAACAGGCCGGCCAGTGAGAATTCCACAGAACCTTCCTCGTCGCCATTATTGCCCATGCCGCCTTGCAGGAAACCCAACATACTCTTTTGCTTCGCCTTTTTGGCAGCTTCTTCGGCTGCCTTCTTTTCGGCTTCCAATTCTTTTTTCGTCTTCTTGGCCACGACTTCACGAGTACCCCAGGAGACGACATTCAAATTGATGATGGAATACAAAATCAAGAGCAAGTACATAGAGGGAATGGAGAGCAGATAAATGAGACCACACGATATACACCAAAACTCCTGCGGATGGAGACACGCCGCTATGAAGAACGACCCCGTCATTGCAATCAAGAAAATGGCCGATGGTGAACCGATACCGTCCTCGCCCAACTGCAGTGCCGTACCAACAATGACAGCCATCATAATCAGGGCATACGCCGTCGACAGCACTTGTGCCACGAACAGCTGGATATTGGCCTTGCAGGTGAAACAGACAAACATGAATCCCAGGATCGGTACAATGTTGTAATGGAAGGAGGTCCAATTGTCAATACGGAAGGCGGCGACAAAAGCACCTACCAACATAAGGAAAATCGTACCGGGGCCCAAAATAGTACCACCCATCAACATCATTTGGTAGAAGATATACAGCAGCGAAATGTTGTCGTTGATCTTGATCGTACGCTTGGCATCGCCCAGCAGATCCATGATATTGGCAATGGTGGAGGGTACCCAACGACGACGTTGATTGTAGAACTCATTGAAACCTTCGGGGCAATGGGTGTAGGCATCGGAGGCAGCTGAGTATTCGACACGATAACCTCTCTGCAGCAACAGGGTACACAACCAACGATCTTCACCCTGATCGTATTGGACGTAATGGCGAGCCTCATCGGATTGGGTGGTGTATTTCTTCATGACATTGTCGTCCATCAGAGCCTTGCCACGGAAAAGTGAGAAACATCCCGGACTACAAAGTACACAGCCGATCATGTGTTCGGTGGCCTTTTGCAGCCAATGACCAATAGCGTATTCGAACAGTTGATACCACACCATGGGACCGGAGCCGACCGGGTGAATACGACCACAGGCAGCACCCAGATTCTTGTTCTTCTTCATTAAATCGACCAGCAGTGTCACGGCATTTGGCTTGAAATCAATGTCACCGTCCAGAGTCAGCAGATAGGTATTGAGGGCAATTGTGTCTTTACGATCGGCAGAAATTGGCAACTCCATGAGTCGGTGACCGAGCAAGTAGTACATGTACATGACCTGAGACCAACGCTTACGATGACGAATACGATCTTTGTCCTTCAAGTGGGCAATGAATTTAGTCTTGCCGGGCAGAGTCCAAACTAAACGGCCACCATACGGGGTGGGATACTTTTTGGGTGGACGAAGACGAATCTGGGTCTGATGGATTTCGGAGGCAGCGTCATCCATAGTGGCAACAAGCAGTTTTACAAAACGATTGACCTGTATATCATCGTCACTGTGATCAGAGATTTCAAAGGCGTCATCGAAGAAAGTGTGGGCTGGAAGGGGAAAATGTACACCATAACTATAAGGAAATTGCAAAATGATTGCCTCTACTTACTTTCAAATTCATAATAATCAGGGTCGACAATTCTCAGATATTTCTGAGCCACACGACGGGCACACTGATCTTCATCCAGACGCATAACGCTCTTCAAGAACTCCATCATCTCATCTTTCGTTTCGTGCCACATTGTAGCGCAGGCATAGATACGGGTGATGTGATCGGAAGATTTGACAGTGGACTTTGTTTGGATTGCCGAACCGTCAGTGTGGACTGAAATGGTTTCGTAGTACTCATCACCTTTTTCTTTGTCGATTTCGGAAAGGTCCTACAAGAGAGGGGAAATAGTAATAAAATATTATTACGTGGGAGTCTATGATTCGTTATTAGAAGATATGATCTTACCTCCGTCTTAACATCCGCTTGATCATCTCTTCGCCGATTCAATGCCATCGACTGATCAATGAGCAGAGAACAATACATGGGTTTCACAAACAACTTCTCGGTGGTGGCCAGACGTTCACATTTCGGAGTCCAGATGTGCAAACTAATCCATGTCTGACTGAGTAACCACAGGATCCAAGCCCATGCCATTTGTTGTGTTACAAAGTCGTTGAATCTGAAGTTCGATGGACTTGTGAAGAACAAATAATCCGGAATGGTGTCATGGAAGAAACAGGGATCATCGATGCGAATACCGCAGGCAGCAATCAACAACGATACCGAAATGGGAATTGTCAGACTGACGGGGAAGGCGTAACTGAAACCTTGAATCAAAATTTTACAAGCAAATTTGCCGAAAATATAGCAGAGATAAGCTCCGAATATTTGGATCAGCAGAACATAGATGACGGTATTGTGCGAAGCATCAATGTCTATGCTGTCGATATTGGCAGCATCAATTGTATCGGGCAAGCTGTTGGTCAGTGAGGTGGCCAATTCATCAACAGATATTTTGTGGGGACCAAAGGCATCTCCATACATGCTGAAGATATTACCGGGCTCATCACCCTGCAGCCAATAGATGAACAACACCGAACAGATGAATAGCGAAATCTTCCATATGGACAAGAACATGTGACTGAAGTAACGTGTGTATCTGAGATCTTCTTTGACACGGCCCATGGCTCGTATGATGCCAAACGATGACTGGGAATCGACATAGTTTTCCCACCAGCCGCATGAGATCATCAGACATGCCACCGGAATAACCCACAATTCTTTGCGATTTTCTAACAGAGGCCAAATTACAAAGCCCGTCACCTGAGCTGCCAATGCCACCAAATCTACAAGCATTTTGGCGAAACGTTTTCCCTCCTTCGATGTGCGCGACATAAGACCCAAAATGCCCGGAACTACACACAAACAATTGGTCAACATGGCGCCCTGAATGGCATCCAATTGTGGCAATACGACAAACATCAATAATGCCGTACCAAAGGTATTCAAACTCTCCATCAGGAACATGAACAGGAAATGGGATTTCTGCGGTACTTTAAATGTCTTGAAGAAACAGATACGTACCGAACGTATCAGAGCACCAAGTTCCGGTACTGAGAATGCAATAATCAATGCCCATATCCATGCTATGCGTTCCTCTTCGGGTAATTTGACGACAAAGGTTTTATCACGACCCTGAAGGAGATTGGAAAAATAATATTTATTGAGGGAGGGGTTGGAGTGGAGTGAATGGGTGAAAGGTGCGTGGGTGTGTGTGTTACTTACCAAATCTTTATTACAATATTCTACCCGCTTATTTTTATTGATTTGTGATGTCATAAAGAGGACACAGCCCTTGGCTGCCACGCCTCCTAATAATACAACGATGAAGGTTATTATATAGGCCACCACTTTTAAGATTTTCACTGTCAACTCCAGGCATTCTTGATTAGCTGTGGAACCGGTTTCAATTTTAATTGGTGGATCTCGAAATACATCCCAGCCTTTTGTTTCCTGTATTGTTCTTTGGCTGTAATGGCAAACGGAGAAAAAAATGAGATTAGAATTTATTTTTTTATTGGCGGAATATTTTAGTTGTTCTTTTCCAGAGAGAATTTATCATAAAATATAATACAGTTTGGGATGGATTTGGGGTGAACGGATAGAGCTGGAATCCTGAAAGGGGGAAATAAGATTTCTATTGGTTGTATGATATAGGTAGTTTTGGAAATTTTTACTTATGTGTACTAAATAGTTCTAAATTTGGTACAATTTGAATTTTGGATGAACCGATAGAGACGAAATCCTGAAGTTTAGAGTTAGGATGGCTGTTGGGGTAGAGAATTGGGGTATGTAGCAAGTTTTGGAAATGTGTACTATATTTGGTACAATTTGGATTTGGGTGAACCGATGGACCTGGAACACCTAAATTTGGAAATAAGATTACCTTTAGAGTGTAGGAATGGGGTATATATATTTAGAAATTCGTGCTTTTGTGTACTAAATTGTACTCAAATTTGGATTCAGGTAAACCCATAGAGCTGGAATCCTGAAATTTGGAATCAAGATTACTGTTGGAGTGTAGAATTTAGATATGTAGGTAGTTTTAGTAATTCATAGTTATGTGTATTAAATGGTACTAAATTTGGAACTACTTGAATTTTGGGCGAACCGATAGAACTGTAATCATGAAATTTGGAGTTATGATGACTGTTGGGGTTTAGGATTGGGTTATGTAGGAAGTTTTGGAAACTTGTAAATTAAAATTTGGCTGAACCGATGGAGCGGGAACATCCAAATCCTAAAATCCAATAAGATTACTGTTAGAGTGTAGGTATAAGGCATGGATGTAGTTTTAGAAATGTGTACTAATTTAGTACCCATAAGTACAAATTTATAAATTTTATAAACAATTGGATATGTAGGTAGTTTTAGTAATTCGAACTTATGTGTACAAACTGGTACTAAATTTTAAACACTTTGAATTTTGGGTGTATGGTAATTTATATAATTAGGTATTAAATTTGGAAAAATTTGGATTTAGGTGAACCCCAGAGCTCGAATCATGAAATGTAGAATTAGTTAAGGAAATGAGTACTAAAAAGAAAGGTAATAAAAAGTACCAAATTTAGTACAAATATAGATTTTTGTTGCGGTCAGAATTGTTGTGTAGTTTTAAGATATGGAGGTAGTTTTGAAAATACATGCTATGGGGGACAAATGTACTAAAATGGTAGATATTGGCATGTAGGTTGATAAGCTCTTCTGTCAAATATGTTTTTTTTTTTTATAAAAAAAATCATATATATTGACATATTTAAATAATTCCCACATTTGTTAATGAAGTAGCGGGCATATGCTAGTAATTTATAATCGAAGTATAGGCCGATGGTACCTTTAATTTTCGGTATGCGATCAAATGGACCAACATGGCAATTTCTATCTGCTTCTGTAGTCAGCCTCTATTCTATTTATTATACCAACGTCCAAAATTTTATAAGGGAAGTGGATCTTTTTCAAGCTGCTGAGAATAATGATAATATTTTCATTATATGACGTAAAAGTTTTCTCCAAGAAGATAGGGTCTACAGAAGTTGTCAAGATATGAAAGAATATATTTTGTGGTTGGATATACTAAAATATTCAAAGGATTTTCATTTTTGTAGAATTATTAAGGGCACAAATATGAGACAACAATAGCGAACTTCTGAGCATAATCAAGATTTATATCCAATGGAAATTTAAGTCCAGTGGTAGTTGTTTTTTATTTTATAAGAGGATCTCATATAATATGTTTACGTTATTTTTTCGGAAGAACTGAATTTTATATATCAATTACATAAAAGTTCTTTATGGAAGACCTTTTGGTATTCTATGAAAAAAGAGTTGTTTAAAAAGAATCCTCTTTTCCTTTTGCCTATATCTCCTAGATTCCGTTATTCTTCAAATGTTTTGCTTTAATGTCTTTTGAAATTATTCAATTTTAACTCGTCAATATATTGTTTATTTTTTAACATTTTTGAAACAGTAAACTTGTTCGGCCACACCTAACAATCCATTGGATATAACAACAATTTAATTTTACGGTATAAATGCCAATGTCGTCAACACAATTACATATACAGACACATAATAATAATATCCGGCATTTGATAAATATTGGTAGGGCAAGAAAATTAACAAAGAGATTGACCGTTGATAATTTTATCTTAAAATATGGTCATGTTCGAACGACATATGACCACACCCAATTATTTCCATATAATATAAATAGATAAAAATTACTTCTGAATAATTACAGTTTTTTTTTTTGGTTTAACCCAAATCTGGTTCTTATAATGTTTCAAATCTGAATGTTATTTTCACTTAAAGTGACATTATATTTTCTAATGCGAGATGTTTAGAATTAAACCAGCAGAGCCCTCAATTACCAATAAATGGTTAAAGATTTACCACAATCATCAATCATTGAATAAAATTTTAGTTTTGAAAATATTGTTATTTAAATTGTACTTCGTCAAACAAATGCCATAATAACTATACAAATGCCATTATGAAGCTCTTCACCTTTGTTGTTGTTATTATTAACTTAGTCATCATCATTATCGATGTCAGTCAACATGTGGTGAGTTATAATTTGAAAATAGTTTTGTCATTGCAGCAGAACATTGCCAGTTTTAATTGCCAAAGTCAAGCCAGAGTGGGATGCTGGTAATGAAATGGCAACATTCAAATGTTAAGAAGGCAAATCATTTAATTATTATCAAAGCTTGCTTAACAACAAAAATTAATTATTCTTATTTTTAAATACCACTCAATACTATTTAAAACAAATTGATATCTTATTTTTTTTTTAAATGAATTATTTTTATGTATAAAAAATAAAACTATTAAAAAGAGTATATTTTTTTCGTTTCACTCACCTTCCGCCATAAATATCATGTGTCAATGGTGTACTCTCGTCGTCTGTGAAATTATCATCACTGTCGCCCGTGCCTGGTGGGGCCAGAGGGCGATGCCTGATATTAGACATCTTTGGCTCCCACGGTTCACGAAACCAAGTCAATCAGCAATGCTTTACTGTGTGAATTATGTAAATTCCAATTTTCCAAAGATTGCCGTTGTTGCTGTTGTTTGTATGCTAAAGACACTGGCGTTTTCAGCGTATCCAAAGTCACTTTTCTGTGGTAACTGAATTTGAATATTTAAACAATAATATTATAATTTACACTGTAAAGAAAAATACAAACAAAAAATAAATAAATAAATTATTAATAAAAAATTAGTTAATAATAAATAAATAAGAATCTGATAATTATATATTGAACAACAGTTCTAAAATCTATATGATATATATTTCTACATGGATTTTGTAAGAAATGAAAAAAAAAGGAAACATCCAGAGTTCGATAATTTTCAAATAAACTGCAGAACGCGTCCGTCGCAACACTGTATTAGTCAAAAAACTTCTTCTTGTATTTGTATTTTCGTATTGTCCATTAGTCACATTAAATAGTTTTCCTTTTTTATTTAAGATTATTGTTTGCCAACCTTAAACATAGCCTCCCTCAATTATTTCAGTTGAAGCCAACATAATCCCGGCTTGCTCCATTCACTTTAAATGCATTTTTTCAATTAACGCCTATCGTTGCCGCATCGTCATGTTCTCGCAACTGTAAGGAGGAAATTTATTACAAGCTACAAGTTTCATGACATGCGGACCAAAGGGGTTTTAAGGTATGCATGGGCATTGCAGCCCTTACGAGCAATGGCTTAACAAGGATTTATATTTTTTGTTAGCATTAAAACGCTTCGCTTTTAAGTATTTTCGCTGTGTTAATGGCTTCTGGGTTCTTTTTTTGCAGATTGAAAGATTAATGCAAGACATATGGTTATTTGTTTAAACAATGACAACCGAATGCTATTTTATGCGGGTTGTTTTGTGGATTTTAGTACTAAGGATGATTTTGTTATTTTTGGTTGGATTAATATATGTCGGGAACATAAGCGTTACATGGATATAAGCCACAACTGGCTTGTTTTGTATTCTGGAGTATGATAAATACTGTTATTAAAAAAATTGTGTATTTTTCCTGACGTAGGGGATGATAGATACCAAGAGACGGATCTGATTGGCTTTAACATGGCAAATCCCAGGCTTATCTTGGTCCATCTTTCATCTCAGTTTTATTAGAGTTGCCATGAAACGAGACATAAATTTAGCTGTGGATTTAAGGTCAACAGGATAATAAAATACCTTATCTCCAGATTCACACCAGTAGATGAGCGAATTACTAAAAACCCTACAAAAGCGAAGTTATTTTACATCAGTCTTATTTGCCTCCATGCTCAGACATTTTTTTGAGGGCCTAGAAACATCATATGACCGCTGCCCTGGCCATGACTTTAAAATTCTGCTAGGAGATTTTAATGTAAAAATCGGAAGGGAAAAATATTTTTGGCCCCATCGTTGGAAAATTCAGCCTCCATGAAGAAACATCCGACAACGGTATGAGGTTAATTGGCTTCGCGGCAGTAAAAACCATGGTAATTAGCAGCACCAGATTCAAGCATCTGGATATGAACAAGGCCTCCTGGATTTAATGAGAAATTAAATTGATCTTGTTGTGGTAGACGGAAGGCATTCATCCAGTGTTTAAACGTTCGATTGATCCGATAAGCAAATATATATTCGGACCATTTCCTGGTGGCAGCCAAGGTTCGCACCCGTCTTAATGTAACACAACAGGGAAACTCGACGTCGAAAAGCTTCAAACACAACTTATAGCAGAAGCCTACTCCGCTCAATTTACCCACCTGCTTGACGAAAGCACTCTCTGCCCCTAATATAGAAGCACAATGGCAAACAATTGCCCACTACCTACTAACTGGTACGATCAGGAGGGTCGTAATGCTACTGATGTGAAAAACGTAGCGTATAGGGCAACCCTGCAGACAGTAGCAATAGGTAAAGCTATAGAGAATTATCGGTAGAAAAGGACAAAGGAGAAACGTATTTTCAGAAAAAAGAAGAAATAACAAGAAAAAAGTGAGCGTGAGAAAATCGAGATGTACAAGAGTCAGAATGAAGTCCGGAAATTTTATCAACGCGATGGCTTTGGTGCAGGCACATCCTCCTGTAGAGATGAAGATGGAATCCTGGTGACAAATGCTGGCATAAGGTTAGCAGTTAAAGTCGGGAAGGATCTCTCGGAGAACTTCAATATTGAACAAGGATTCAGACAAGGTGACGTTTGTCGTGTGACCTTTTTAATATCCTGCTGGAAAAGGTCATACGAGATGCAAATGTGAACAGAAATGGCACTCTGTACACCAAACTGTATATTTTACTCGCCTACGCCGACGACATCGACATTGTGGGTCGAACATTGCGAGCGGTAACAGCCACCTTTGAACGAATTGAGAAGGAACTGGCCAAAGTGGGACTGACAGTAAATGGCGAGAATACCAAGCAGATGGTATCAACGACAAGACGTCCAGTAGGCTCGGACCAACTGTGGAACTTGAAAACTACAGCTTCGAGGTTCTGAACGATTTTATACACTTTTGTGCCGCCATAAACAAACCTATTAACATCAGCTTTGAAATCCGGAGAAGAATAGTGTTGGCCAATAGATGCTACTATGGTCTGAGTAAGCCATTCAAAAACAAGGCCAACTCTCGCCAGACCAAACTTACACTCTGCAACACGCTGATATTACCCGTGCTGTTATATGGATCTAAAGCATCAGATGAGGCTGGATAGCTCTTGGATTGTTTGAGATAAGGAATCTCCGAAAGATCTACGCGACGGACTGCTTCGACGGTGAATATCGTCATCGAATGAATCATGAGTTGTACCATCTATTCTCGGACATCGAAATAGTCAGACGCATCGAACTGAAGCGACTACGTTGGCTAGGTCATGTTGTGAGAATGGGTGAGGATGCCCCAGCATATAAAAGCGAGTCAACTAATGGTTCACGCAGAAGGGGAAGATCAGAAATTTGATGGAAAGATCAATTAGAAGACAACATCTCGCAACATGACCTTTCAAATTGGAAGAGCTGTGCACAAGGCCGACGCGCCTGAAAATCTATTCGATGTACACCTCATCTTCGTATATAATGTAGTTTTTTTCGATCTTCAAACAATACAAAATATACAACGATTTGGAAAGTTTGGACCAAATCTTCATCCTTCATGAGTTATCATGTGCTTCATTCAATTGTAATTCGACTATAACATTTCTAAAACGGATTTGGTCCAAAGAGGCTAGGGATATAAAACCAATATTTCGATGAGCCACATTTTCATCGTATGAAAATCTATATACCTTCATTAGTTACAATGTTGAGGCAGAAATAAGTGATTATATTCGTATGTGTACATATATTTTTATGCATAGGCGTGTTTTCAAATAGCAACATTTTATTTTGAAGAAATCATTTTTTTGGTTATTTAATTATGTATTTCGTTGGCAACATATATATAAAATTATTTAATTAAAATGTTTATTTTATGAATCACAACAAACCAATTTTTCGCATACGCACGTTCTTAAAGACTTCCATATACAACCTATGGACCAATTCTAAAATTGTTTTTTCCATTTTCAACTGTTCCTTTGTCTTCTTGAAATTCTTGTTTTTGAAATTAACTTCACACTACACGACACATGTTTCGGTATGGCTCAGACATATGGACAGAATGATACGCCGGACGCTGGTACACGGGTGCAAATAAAATTCTGCTGGTACCATAAACTGGCAATAATTAATAGCCAATACTCTGAAGAGAGAGATTTAAATTTTGCTGTTTACCTTGAAAGTAAGACTTGTTTTTTTTTTGCTACGCTTTGCTATTTGTTGTTTTCAAGCTATGCCATGCTTTGATTTCAGTTGGTGTTTGGTTTTTTTTTATTAAAGGCAATCGAAGTTTGCCATTTGACCACTAAAAGGGTGTGGGGTTTTTGAAACAAGACAATCGTCTATAAAAAAAAAAACAATAAAGAAACCTGAAATATTGCAACGTTTTCTACGCGATTTGTTGAATATTTTTTGCATTAATAATTTATTAGTTTTTATATTTCAGCAGAATAGGAAAAAAATAATCGATTTTCGACCGTGACAGGACTCGAACCTGCAATCTTCGGATTCGAAGTCCGACGCCTTATCCATTAGGCCACACGGTCCTGTTGTGCATTTATCAACATTTGGGGTTGATATACACAATTGTCCTTTTGTGATGTATCACACAGAAGAAGGATGCTAGTCGCACATCACATCCTTTTCAGTAAGATATGCCCACCCTTAGAGAGATGGAGAGGGGGAGAGAGAGAAAAATCTACCCTTATGTGTGGCATCATGAACTGTTCTCAGGAACAAATTGTGTTGTTGTTTTTTCATTTTAATTAACGTTCCAACAACATGTTGGCAATGAAAACGGTAGCATTAATAAAAACTGCATTTTAAGTCATCAACAAATATGTCAAACAAGTTCTTAGCTGAGCAATTGCATCATTAGGCCAATCAATGGCTTGGACCAAGAGTCAAGGTAAGAATGCTTATGCAAGTGATGCTCATTGAAATAAGTTGTTATTTGTAAAATTTAATAAAAATTATATTTTATTGTAAATTAAAATTGTGTTTGACATTAAGTTTTAAATATAGCTGTAATGATAATCTGCTTGAAAATGTTAAAAAACACATTTTTATTAGCAAACTTTATTTACTAAAGAGCTATATTTTAAAATAAAAAAACAAGATAAGAAGTGTCGGTCGATGTTGCCGACAGATATATATCCTTAGCCTATGACATATGTAGTATAAACTTATCCTGACATGATTATAAATATCAAGGTCTGCCAAGTTTAGACCACACATCATTCAACATTCGCTTAACACTAGATTGCCGAAAGCGGTCATATTGACGGTTTTTCAATTTCAAGTACAAAAACAATTGTGTATATTATGACACAGCTTTTTAAAATTTGGTGACTTTTTGTAACACATAGAACTACGTTGATTAATCATAGCAGCTGCTTCCTCCCCTCTTTCATTCCCCGTATTCACATGTGCTATACCTATATAGCCTAAAATCGGTCATTTTGACCTCTTGTGAAATATTAAATAATCAAACTACTTTTATTATTGTATAAAGTAAATTTCTT